CTTTTTCAGTTAGCTGATGTACAATTTATAAAGAAGAGAATCTTTAGCTTGTATATCTTATGGCTACAACAAAACATGGTAGGGCATATCCCCCCAAGTCCGTCCAAAGCAGTGGTTTGGTCTACATAAACCCATAATTTTAAATTGCATGCTTAACTAGTGAATCATGCCAATGCTAAAACGGGAAAGCTAGCATTATAACAAAGTAGCGCAAGAAGGAAGAAAAAGAAAAGGCAGTATGGCCATTTCAAGAATCCTTCATTTTTATATAAACATTTTAGCATATATTTATATAGCACCTTATTGCAGCCTCAATTCTTAGCAGAAATTAAAGACTTCTGCAGATTACACTTAACAATTTATTTATTAAATTTGTGTGCCACCCATCTCACTGCAAGGTGACTCTGGCAGCTTACAACATCATACAATAAGAGATAGATGGACAGACGGATGGGTGGAATAGAAAATTGTAAGAGAAAAAAAAGATAAACTATTAAAAAACTGACCAAGCTGCAGAAAAATTATAGAGACTGGAACAGTTCTTATATGGAAAATGTTAGAAGATATAGCTTTTCATTACTATATATGGAGTCCAGAAAGAGAAGACTTGGCAGAAGAATACAAAATATTGATAATATGAATATTTTCCTTATTGCTCTTATGATAATAAAGCCTATTCAGTCAAACTGACTACTGGAAGAATCAGGACAGGTAAAAATATGTGTTCACAGCTATGGAACAATCTCGCATGATGCTTACAAGAGCCCTACTAAATCCTTCTCCATCCATGCTTCATTTCACCACCGAGGGGAAGTCAGAAATAAACACAGAGCATCTGTTTGCTCTATCAATGCCAAGGACATCATGTTGTATATACATGGATACAGAAAGGCATCCTAGGTTTATTATCCTAGACCAGTAGATGGGGAATTCTGGGAGCTGAAATCCACCCAACTTAAACATTGCCAAAGTTGAGAAACATTGTCCTAGATACAACAGCTGCCCAAGTTACACTGAAATATACATATACATGCATTATATCCTGAAAACTGCTCAGTTTCTACATCTCATTAAAAATGCCATCCTTTATCAGAACTGAACTAAGCAAACTAATCCTTTCCTCTTTTAATTTGGAATCTAAATAGATAGCAATAGCAATGCTCTAAGCGGTTTACAGAGCCTGCATATTGCCAATAATCTGGCTCCTCATTTTACCCACCTCGAAAGAATAGAAGGCTGAGTCAACCTTGAGCCTGGTGGGATTTGAACTGCCAAACTGCAGGCAGCCGGCAGGCAGCAGAAATAGCCTGCAGCACTGCATTCTAACCACTGTGCCACGGCAGCTCAAATAGATGTTTTGGGACTTTTAAGTAGCTGATCTTCCTTTGTAACAGGCTAAAACTTTCTCTCTTCTCAATCCTTCCATGAACTACACTAAACTCTCTCACTTCATTCCTTCTAGTTTACCACTACAGGGAAAACTGCTAGATTGGTTGAGAGTTCAATCCTAGGAACAGTTTTGAGCAGATATCCAACAGTAACCGTTTATAAAGGAAAGCGATTCCAAAAGCGATCTGGATCTTAAAACGGTTGCTTATACATTCAAGAGTTGCATTCTCTTAAATATACATCCAACAATAAGCACTAACCTTTACCATCTATCAATATTCAAACACGGATTATGAAAAAGGAGTTATGAAGTGCATAAACATCCAAGTCAAAAGGTTTATTCATATGTCTGATTATTCAGTTAGTCTCATTTATGAATCATTCTTTATCAGCAAACTAAGCCTTCATAAAGTTTCAGCCAAACAGACATTATCCTTTACAATTTTTATCAGGTAGCATTTAATTCTCGTTATTTCTTTCAGCTAGAGAATTTCTTTTAGGTCTCATAGCATGAGCAGAACAAAACCCAGGAATCTGACAGCCATATCTTATAACTCAGGAATCCAACATGGTGCAGATGTTAATTTGGGGGCTGATTTGCTTGACACAGAAAAAGAACTGAGTCAATCTCTGGGGGAAAAATGATCTCTTTGTTTAGTCAGCCAGTCATCCTCGAGACTCAGTGTAAAACGCATGGCTCAATTTGGAACAGAGAGGAAGTTATCAAGAACATCTGCCGACAAGCAATGCTGGGTGGCAGGCAGATTACTTTAGGAGTAGGAAATAAAGGACCCCAAATAAGAAGCCGAGGGGCCTACTTCAAGTTCTTCTATCTGCAGACAAAACAGTTTCTGAAATTCAAAACCAAAAGAAAGAACTTGGTGAAACCAGGAAGAAACCAAGAAGACTTTCTTTTTAAAAAGTGCACATAAGATCAACACTCACTTCTGGCTGGAACATATATAGCTCCTATGTTGACTTTTTCCTCACACACACAAAAGCAAACATGCACTTTTCATTGGTTAATGTATCAACATATATTCGCCCTCAAAGTAGTACTGATTAAATAATATTCATTTTACTTACATGCCAACTCTGTTGTGATTAATTAGAATACAGAAACTAATTGGATGTGGGGGAATAATACGGATTTAAACTCAATTCTGATCATATTAGTCTAAGTTTCATGTAACTATCTTCATTGTTGCCCTGAGGACAGAGGCATTTATCATGGATTTCACTGCCAATCATTTTAATTAGACAAAATGTCTTTAAAATGTTGCCCTATTTTTCAATAACAAAAATTTAAATACTTGGCTGGCTTTTTTTAGAACCTTAATAGGTTGTATGACTAAAAAACAATAATTAGCTGCAAAGATGAAAACTCAACAGTTATCCAAACCACATGGGTGTGAACATTCAATACTTCATGAAATCTTGTGATGTAATCTTGGGACATGTAACTTCACAGCAGTTTCAGCCCCAGTTTGTGTTTTAAACACAGTCAGATGAATTTCAAACACAAAGAACAGAAACAACCAGTTCTAAAAAGGTATGTTAATGAGTTTTTTGACATCTGCCAGAAAATCAGACACAACAACTGTAAGTTTCTTGCTACCATTATAACTAATCTCCAGACATGTCAAACTCCCAAATGGGCAGTCTTATTAGTAATGTGTCTACTAAGCAAGCTGATGTAAGAAGACAGAGTCCTAATTGGAAATGCTCTTCAAAAACATTAGTAGCTCAAGCACAATTTGAGGCTGGTGGGCAAAAGAGCTCAACCACTAACCCATAGTCTTAATTGTAGGGAAGCAAGCAGAAAGAGGGGTGGGGCACATTTCTCAGTTAAGTAACTACCATGAAATTATAGAAACTAGTTCCCTTTGGCATTAACAGTTTTACCCAGTTAAGATGCACACATGTACTTTAAAAAAGTTTTTAACAGTGCATCAAATAATATTCAACTAAAAAACAAATTTAAACTTTAAATATAGAACTCTTCATTCTTCTGTTCTTTTCACTGTGTGGTCATCCCAATAACCTATTAAATGAAAGGCTAGATAACAATGGAGATATCAACTCTCAATTTTCTTTCCCCATCTAAAACAGGATCATCAAGGTTCACTTCACAGGCTCCTTTTTCAAATTACTGAGAAAATATTTTAAATGCTCCTCATTCTTGAAAAGTGTATCAATATGTACAACATAAACAACTTATTGTACAGTCCACAGATCAAACCCAACTTCCTAACCCATGTAATTTCTTCAGTATGTGCTCATTATGACATCTGTAACTTTCTGTCAACTCTCTTCCATTTATATTTACTTGCAGGGCCCAGATAAATTATCTCCTGGTCCTATATGTACACACAATCAATACATTTCTGAGCCCCTCCATCTTCAACTGCATCCTTCCTCACTTCCACCTAAATTTCAACTAACTACTCAGGAAAGCAAATTCAGTCATTTAGTATACCCTCAAGAATATATGAAATTTCACAACTCTTCAAACTTCAAATGCTTTTTTCTTTTAATGTTTAATGTTTCCCTGACTCACCCCTACCCCCCTACCCCCCAAGAAAAACACCCCTACCCCCCAAGAAAAAGTCATTACGGCCAAGCCACTTCTAAGCAATCCCATTCTTCAAGAATCCTTTCATCCAAAATCCCACCTACTAACCAATCAACTCTGCATTTCAAACATACATCACACCTTCACTTTTTCTGAATTCATTTCTCATGGAGAAAAAAACAACAACCCTGACCTACTTTAGGGGTATACTAAAAACACCCTTCTCCTTTCCATTGGAACTTTTTTTTATTGCTCTCCCCCAATGTCACAGAAAAGGCCATCTCCAGAACTGGAAGAATTCCTGCTTCCTATCTAATGATGTATCTGTGATAGGAAGCCTTAAGAGCCCTGCCTCTTTTCAAACTCAATTCTCTCCCCCTCTGGACAATTTCTCCCTTCTGCTCCAGTGTGTAGGACCGTCCACGCCACACAAACCCTGCAACTACACTTGAGCCTACTTATATTGTGCAAAACACCGCCGATGTGGTTAGTTGAATGGCTCGGGGGTTATATAAAGGAAACACAGGAAATTGTGTTCACTAGATAGAAAGAATGGTTAAATTAACCCTGGCTAAGAGTGTCCGGCAAACCCAGCCCGCAGTTCAGCCTTTTTACACGCTCATCATGAACCGCCGATTCTCGCTTCGGCCAAATCGCCTTGTCCAACTTCACCCCGGTTGGAGGGTTCAGGTGTCTCGTGAGAAGGCTGGAACTCGGGCTACGTTACGATCAACTCGATCTCGAAGGTCTCCCGTTGCAGGGATCGAGACCGGCTCCCCATCCCATTTCCCCTGGGACCCCTTACCCGCGAGCTCCCAATCTCCGCAAGAGGAGGCTCCCCCACCCCCCACGCCCATTTTAGCAGAGCTCCTCTCCAAGCTACCTCCCTGTCACAGCGAACATCCCTCCCTCTCCGCCGCCTTCCCCAACCGCCCCGCTACCTTCTTCCTCCCAACCAAACCTCACCGCCCCCACTCGCTCAGCTCACGAAAGAGAGCAGCCGGACCCTTTTCCCCCCCACCCCTTTCACCCTTACCTGGACCAGAACGCGGGCAAGGCAGGCCGCGGCTTCGATTGGCGACTCCCTCGCCCTGAGCCAAAACAGCCTAAAGCGACGGAGCCGCCTCCGCCTCCTCTCCCGCCCGACCGCCTGCCCGACCGCAAGCTGAGGCGGCGCGAGGCACTTCCGGGTTGGTGGGGGGAGGGGAGAGAGAGAGAGAGAGAGAGAGAGAGAGAGAAAAAATCCCCTCCGGCGCACGCGCATCCAGCAAGCTTGGTGGGAGGGTGTGGGGAGGGGAAGGAAAAGGCGAAGAACTGGGGGCGGAAGAGCACAAGCGCCCTCTTGCCTAAAGCGGGTCGAGGCGGGTGTGTGGTTCGCGTGACGCCTTCAGTCAGTCTGTTGGTGCCTGAAACTGCACTCCAGATCACCAGAAAGGGCTCTGAGGGTGTTTTGAGAAAGTCTCAAAGATGCTTTTTCAGGAAGCAACAGGACTTTTTTTTTTTCTTTTGAAGACGTTTCGCTTCTCATCCAAGACGCTTCTTCAGCTCTGACAGGATAGTGGGGAATGGAATCCTGTCAGAGCTGAAGAAGCTTCTTGGATGAGAAGCAAAATGTCTTCAAAGAAAAACCAGAAAGCACAGTTGCCTCTTGAAAAAGCACCTTTGGGACAACCACGACCTGGATGACTGTGAATCTCCATAGGCTTGTGAGGGAGATACAAGTGAAGGGCTGGTGTTTATCAAGCTTTATTGTTGTGCAACCCGTAAATTCAAAATCTAAGGGACTGGTTTGGACAAAACTAGCAGCACTTTTTCATATGGCTGTCGATAAAAATAGGATCACCAAGAAACAGCCCCTAAGTTGTATTGGACTTCGCAACATTACCCCCTGAGTTTGCCCAAATTCACATTCATTGCAGTGGTGAAACTATCTAACCATCCTATGCCGTCCCCTTCTCCTTTTGCCTTCAATCTTTCCTAACATCAGTGTCTTTTCCAATGAATCCTCTTTTCCCATTTGGGTTGACCGAACTACATGCATCAACACAGGTAGTCCTTGAGTCACGACCACAATTGACCTCAAAATTTATGTTACCACATGAAATATTTAAGTGAGTTTGCCCTATTTTATAACTTTTCTTGCCACAGTTGTTAAGTGAATCATTGCATTTATTAAGTTAGTAATGTTAAATGGATCTGGATTCACTTGACTTTGCTTGTCAGGTTGAACCCAGGACACTGCAACCGTCGTAAATATGAACCACTTGCTGAGCATCTGAATTTTGATCATGTGACCATGGGGATGCTGTAGTAGTCGTAAGTGTGAGAAACGTTCATAAGTCACTTTTTTCAGTGCTGTTGTAACTTTGAGCAATCACTAAGTGGACTGTTCTAAATTGAGGACTACCTGTACTTTGATTTGAGAAAATCAGTTTTGCATCATAACCTAGACTCCTAATCTTTAGTTACCAAGACAAGGAGAGTGTATTGTAACAGTTGTTTGGCTTTGAGATACTGAGATTCAACGGCTTGTTTACCTATGGAAATTACAGGATGACTTTGGCCAGTCATGCTGGCAACTAACCTACCTTAGACTGCATGATTTTAACTCTAAAAAGAGAGAATCTGTAGAAATCACCTTGAACTCCCAGGTGAAATGGAAAATAAATGTAATTAACATTAAAAATTGAAAACATGCTATTCTCCAACAAGCATACAACTACATTTGAGATCCTTTCAATTCACTAATAATAATTAGTAATAATTAGTAATAATAAGTATAATAAGTATAATAATTACTATAATAATAATAAGTAGTAATAATTGTCAATTCCCTTATTTTACCTTTTCTTTAGATATTGTGATTTTTTTTCTGTATGGCCTAAAGCAAAAAATGTAACTTTCTCTGTTAAGCATATTGTAATTTCATGCATACATGTGTGTTTTGTCAGAATTCAGGGGATAAGATAAACAGAGGGACTAGAGTAATAGAGTTCAGTCTACATGCTAATTCCATAGGAAGAACACAGAGTGTGCAAACTATCACACAAAATTCTCAATTTCAGAGGCTAACAAAAAAATACCTATGATCATCAATATATCAGAGCCTTATGAGAAAGAAGTGCCAGATTCTCAAGCTACTTTTTGAACAGTAGGAATAACGTTATATTATTGCTAATGAACTTTGGATAATTGAAAAAGGCAAAGAATACAAAAAAGTTAATATTTTATTGATTACAGAAAGGCCTTTGTGCAGCCCATGTCAAGCGTGGAATGGGCTTAGGAAAATGAGAATCCTAGAACGTTTTGTTGTCTACATATGAAAACATTACCCAGAATAGGAAGCCGCAGTCCAGGCAGAATATAGTGAAAGTCTGGCTCCAGATTAGCAAGAGAAAAAGGACAGACTGTATTCTCTCATTGAATCCACCTACATGCTGAATATAAATTGAAGAATCTAGATTAGAAAAGTAGGATGTTTTTAAAAATTAAACACATAACTGCTATTCTGATGACACAAATGTGGTAAGTAAAAATGCAAATGTTTTGCAAGTTTCAGCAGTGAATTCAAGAAGCCCAGTGAATAAATAAAACTAAGAATAAACAAAAAGAAGACCAAACAAATGACAACATATACCACTCTCAGAATTGACAAGGAAGATATTCAAGTGGGGGATAGTTTCTGCCTTTTAGGAACGGCCTTTTAGGGACAAATATCATCAGTCAATACACTCCCACAACCTGCAGAAACCAGACTATTAATCATGCTTGGCCTATGATCATCATCTTTTGGGTTTGTTTTGATTATTCATGTTGAAGACTGGCAAACTCTACTATAGGCAAGGTGTAAATTCATTTTTCAAATTATTTCAAAAACATTCCTTCAAAAGCTAACATTTGTAAAATATCCTTGCAAGCAGGGCAAGAAATAACCCATTCCAATGAAGACTACTGTAACCAGGTTTGCAATGAGAAAATTGTTTTAATATAAAAGTGAAAGAATATCAAAGTGCAAATATATCCTCATTTCCATTAGCTGAAATGGCACCAAGAGGGATGAAGGGAAGAAAGCACATTTTGTGTACCTTTCCAATTGTTCATGTTGAACAATTAGGCTTCTCCTTAAAATATCCTCCCCTCTCAAGCAATTGTAACGAGTAGAAAATATTACTCCAAGTAGTGTAACCTATTTCAGTCTTTCAGTGAAAGAACAGAAGAACCAGCTTCCTGTTTCAGTGACATGAAGTGCTAAATATTGGTTCTAACTAAAATACAATTGCTTCATGGTCTCCAGACCCAAGGTATCTTCACACACTTTCTGATAATGGAGTGAGGCCTCCTTGCTCACATCAGCAGACAAATCCACAACACGTGCAAAGGTCCTGTGCGGAAAAGATGAAAAGGGGCAAAAAAACAAACAAACAGCAGTTGAAGCAATTATATGAACAGGCTTCTAATTTCCTCAAAAGAACTTGTGAAAGTAATTAAAACCTTAATAGCACGGTTGCTTGAATGATTTAAATTTCATTTAGTTCAGGTTCAGGCAGTACAGTGCCTGGGGCATCATTAAACCCTAGATACTACAGTTAGGCTCATTTGTCTGATCTGCAAAGGTTCTTTTTATAAACAAAATTTAATTTACAAGTTAAATAGGAATGTGGCTTGATGCAAAACAAAACATGAATTACATTAAATGCATTAGGTTCATGCTGACTTTAATATACACAAGTCCTCTTAGGATAGGCATCATGGGGGATAGATTATTTTCCAGTAAATGGGTGTTTTGTAAGTTACTATGCCCACTCTGGTTTCATGTATAGGCAAATCCGCCCTGTCAGCCATTTTGTGAGCACATCATCTCCTACCAGAATTTCAAATGTATTTCTCCCATGAAAGCATCTCATAAGGACTATGAACTGAAAAGTGCACTAATGGGAGGCCATGGCTAAGCTGTGGAAGTTTAGGTCGTCAGTGGAAAGAATGCAAGTGAAAGAGCCTGATTAGCTAATGACCACCACTACTCTTGGATTACAATTTACCTGAATTTGCAATTGTTTCAATCTGAATTTTCACTTCAATCGAGGGATCATTCTAACTTTTATGAAAACAGATGTGTTTCAACAGAAACTATGAAAACAAATACATGCTAGGGAGCTACTATAATGGGAAAAATCCAAATAGAAGCTCTCTTGTTCTTCAAACATTTCTACTCTCAATACAAAAGATGGGACTTAGGAAACAAGCTATATTAGCACTATGTGATCATCACTGCATTATTATATTCCGCAAATGAAAAATGCAGTTTCTTCTTATGCCTTTACAAGTACCTTGGTAGCTCTGCATCTAGCTTCAAAGATACTTCCTCTAGTTCCTTCATGACATTCAGCGCTTTGGCATTTTCTTCAAAGTTTTGTAGCAGAGCTTCATTCAAAACACTCTGAATCGTAGCCAAGCTTTTCTGTAAATCAGCTATCTCATAAAAGTCAAAAGATGCAGCTGTTAGTATATACAACGTAGTCAGGTAACAGGTAGTCCATGACTTAAAACCACAATCGAGCCCAAAATTTCTTTTGTTAAGCGAGACATTTGTGAAGTGAGTCATTTGTGAAGTGAGTTTTGGCCCATTTTATGACCTTACTTGCCCCAGTTGTTAAGTGAATTATTTCAGTTGATAAGTTAGTAATCTGGTTGTTAGGTGAGTCTGGCTTCCCCATGGACTTTGCTTGCCAGAAGGTCACAAAAGGTGATCACATGACCCAGGGACAATGCAACGGACATAAGTATGAACCAGTTGCCAAGTATCTGAAATTTGATCACATGACTATAGGGATGCTGCAAAGGTCATAAGTCACTTTTTTCATTGTTGTTCTAACTTTGTACGGTCACTAATGAACTGTTGTAACTACCTGTAGTGGTGATGATAATCAAACCTGGCTGCTTAGTTTAAACAAGCTTGCAAAAGATGACTTTCTGTATTGACTGAAACAGAATTACTTATGCATAAATAAGATTTTGAAGGGCTGTATGTTGTATAAACTTCTTCAAAGTTTCATGCCTCTTTTTGCACAATTGGATTGTCAAGGGGCTCAAAACTCCTGTTAGCATGAGGTTCACTATTACCTTAGCAATAAAATATTCTAAGTCATCAATAACAGAATTC